TGATATATTATGTATCCAGGAAATCCAGGTATGGTACTTTTAATCTACAGAGACTTTTGTCTACAACGATTATTATCTTTAATAACTGTTACCTACCCTTACTGTGATCTACAACTGGCAGTGAGCAGACTTTATTGAGACAGAATCTAGTTTCAGTCAAGTTTTTTCTTATACGTTCCCCATGCAAACAAATATACGTATACAGAAACAAAGAACATTCTATGACCAGCAAGGGATCAAACCAGACCACTGTTGCCTTAGACCGCTACACCACCATGGCACATAACGTTTGACAGCTAGTTACATTTCAAATCTTCGACTCGCTGAGATTCAAGAGTGACTGCTCACTCGCTGAGATTCAAGAGTGACTGCTCACTCGCTGAGATTCAAGAGCGACTGCTCACTCGCTGAGATTCAAGAGTGACTGCTCACTCGCTGAGATTCAAGAGCGACTGCTCACTCGCTGAGATTCAAGAGTGACTGCTCACTTGCTGAGATTAAAGAGTGGCTGCTCACTCGCTGAGATTCAAGAGTGACTGCTCACTCGTTGGTACTCAAGAGTGACTGCTCACTCTCTGAGATTCAAGAGTGACTGCTCACTCGCTGAGATTCAAGAATGACTACTCACTTGCTCCTTTAACTCGAGACCCTCTAAGGGTTTAAGGTCAGTAGTCATTACGCTGAGGTCAGTGGTCACGTGCGGTCATACCTGCCTAAGCTCTTGGGAGTTAGCGTGGGCTGTTACCAAGCACCATGACTTGTTGTAGTGCTTTAGATTCTCAGGTTCAAGTGTTGAAGAAGGAGATTCTACTTCTTCAGGAGGAAAATAGGAAGCTGAAGCTTCGCATAGATGAGTTTGGGAGTGAGTGTGAGAAGGATTTAGCTGGTAAAGAGGAAATGGTCACCAGCAGTGATAGTGGCAGCCGCTTTAGGTGGCAAGTGGTTCACAGTTCAGGAAGAAGGAAGATGAGGAGAGTTAATAGAGAAGATGTGAAGGTAGGAAATCGATTCTCTGTTCTCCAAGACGAATGTACTTCAGTGGTTAGTGAGGTTGAAGGTACCACTGATTCCCCTGCTCATCAAGGTAAGAATATTTTAATAGTATGCTTTTTGTAACAGAGACTGAAAGGTCAGACAGAGAGTGTGCCTTCCTGGAGCTGGTGTTAGTGACATAGTCAGCAGGTTGGATAATATTACGGCAGGTAATGGGAACAAGCCCATTATCTGTCTTAGTGCTGGGGGTAATGACATTGGGAAGGGCAGGAGAGTGGAGCTGCTGGATAAGTACAGGTCAGCCATAGAAGTAGTTAGGTCTAAGGGAGGGATCCCAGTCATATGTAGCATCTTGCCTAGAAAGGAAGTGGGCAATGAATGGATGTCTAGGGTATAAATTGCTGGCTAGACAGGTACTGCAAGGAACTTGCAATCCCATTCATTGATAACTGGGGTTTATTCTTTGGCAAATATGATATGTATGGAAGGGATGGGGTTCATCTCTCTGGGGATGGAGTGGTTGCATTAGCCAATTTGACTAAGAGAGTAATTGATGACTTCTCTAGGAATTTAAACTGATAGATTATAGAGGTATGGGTGTTTGTGAGAAACAGTCAGGCTGCAGCATTAGGGTTAAAAACAGTAGTTATTACTGGGATACCTCAGGGATATGTTTAAAAGACAATATTCAAAATAAAGTTGCTAGTAATGGCAAATCAAGTGATCAACAAACAAAGAAGTCGGCCAAGCAAAAATCTGGGACAGAGATTTGATTGCAGTTATCTGGGTAATTCCATGATATATTGAAACTAAGTGATTTGTGATCACTTTCCCCAAGCTCACCATTAACCTCAAGATTATTAATTAGTGAATCTTTGTTGGCAAGAACCAAGTCAAGCAGATTGTTTCCTCTAGTTGGTTCTGCCACAACCTGTTCTAAAAAGCAATCCTGAACCGTATCAAGAAAGTCACTAGTCTCAAGATTTCCTGTCATATTGCTCCAATTAATTTGTCTAAAGTTAAAATCTCCTATTATCACAACATTTTCATATCTAGATGCAAAAAAAAAAACAGCGTACTGCCCTCCCTATCAAGGTTTATGGGCCAATAAATCACACCCAAAATTATTTTGCCACTCCCTCGAGAAACTGTAGCCAAACAGATTCTGTGTTCGATGTTTCTAATCTTATATCATGTCTAAGACTACAATTTAAATTTTCTCTGACATACATTGCCTCACCACCACCCTTCCTGTTGACCCTATCAGTGTGGAATAGTTTATAACGCTGTATGTTGCATTCGGAAGGCATTTCTCTATCTTTCAGGTTGAACCAGGTCTCTGTTATACCAATAATATCTATATTACGTACACTTGCAAGTAATCTTAGCTCATCTATCTTATTTCTTATACTCCTACTATTTGTATAGTAAACCTTAAGGGAGCTAGTCACTCGTTGCCCTCTACTATCTCTCTTTGTTTGTTGATCAATTGATTTGCCATTACTAGCAACTTTATTTTGTATATTGTCTTTTAAACATATCCCTGAGGTATCCCGGTAATAACTGCTGTTTTTAACCCTAATGCTGCAGCCTGATTGTTTCCCACAAACACCCATACCTCTATAATCTATCAGTTTAAATTCCTAGACAAGTCATCAATTACCCTCTCAACTGAATTGGCTAATGCAACCACTCAATCCCCAGAGAGATGAACCCCATCCCTTGCATACATATCACGTTTGCCAAAGGATAGGTCCCAGTTATCAATGAATGGGATTGCAAGTTTCTTGCAGTACCTGTCTAGCCAGCAATTTATACCAATTACCCTAGACATCCATTCATTGCCCACTCTCTTTCTAGGCAAGATGCTATATATGACTGGGATTCCTCCCTTAGACCTAACTACCATCCCGGCCGGGGTATGGTTTGGTTTACTTCTATGGCTAACCTGTACTTATCTAGCAGTTCCTCTCTGCTGCCCCTCCCAATAACATTACCCCCAGCACTAAGACAGATAATGGGCTTGTTCCCATTACCTGCCATAATATTATCCAACCTGCTGACTATGTCACCAACACCAGCTCCAGGAAGGCACACTCTCTGTCTGACCTTTCTGTCTCTGTTACAAAATGCAAAGTCCATATATCTTACCTGAGAATCGCCTACTATTAAAATATTCTTACCTTGATTAGCAGGGGAATCAGTGGTATCTTCAACCTCACTAACCACTGAAGTACACTCGTCTTGGAGAACAGAGAATCGATTTCCTGCCTTCACATCTTCTCTATTAACTCTTCTCATCTTCCTTCTTCCTGAACTGTGAACCACTTGCCACTTAAAGCGGCTGCCACTATCACTGCTGGCGACCATTCCTTTCTTATCAGCTAAATCCTTTCCACACTCGCTCCCAAAGTCATCTATGCGAAGCTTCAGCCTCCTATTTTCCTCCTGAAGAAGTAGAAACTCCTTCTTCAACACTTGAACCTGAGATTCTAAAACACTGCAACAAGCCATGGTGCTTGGTAACAGGGCTATAAACTATTCCACACTGATAGAGTCAACAGGAAGGGTGGTGGAATGGTGATGTGTGTCAGAGAAAGTTTAAATTGTTGTCTTAGACATCATATAAGATTAGAAATATCTGGAGGTTACCTGGAGGTTATTCCGGGGATCAACGCCCCCGCGGCCCGGTCCATGACCAGGCCTCCCGATGGATCAGGGCCTGATCAACTAGGCTGTTACTGCTGGCCGCACGCAGTCCAACGTACGAGCCACAGCCCGGCTGATCCGGCACTGACTTTAGGTATCTGTCCAGCTCTCTCTTGAAGGCAGCCAGGGGTTTATTGGCAATTCCCCTAATGCTTGATGGGAGGCTGTTGAACAGTTTTGGGCCCTGGACACTTATGGTGTTTTCTCTTAGTGTACCAATGGCGCCCCTACTTTTTATTGGCGGCATTTTGCATCGCCTGCCCAGTCTTTTACTTTCGTAGGGAGTGATTTCTGTGTGCAGATTTGGGACCATTCCTTCCAAGATTTTCCAAGTGTAGATTATGATATATCTCTCCCTCCTGCGTTCCAACGAGTACAAGTCAAGTGCTTCCAAGCGTTCCCAGTAGTTAAGGTGCTTGACAGAAAATTATACGTGCAGTAAAGGATCTCTGTACACTCTCTAGATCTGCGATTTCACCTGCTTTGAATGGAGATGTTAATGTACAGCAGTATTCCAGCCTAGAGAGAACAAGTGATTTGAAAAGGATCATCATGGGCTTGGCATCTCTCGTTTGAAAGTTCTCATTATCCATCCTATCATTTTCTTTGCACGTGCGATCGTGGCACTGTTGTGATCCTTGAAAGTGAGATCCTCAGACATTACTACTCCCAGGTCCCTTACATTATTTTTCCGCTCTATTGTATGGCCGGAGTCAGTAGTATACTCTGTTCTAGTTATTATCTCCTCCAGTTTTCCATAACGGAGTAGTTGGAATTTGTCCTCATTGAACATCATTGAACATATCGAACACAGAATCTGTTTGGTTACAGTTTTTCGAGGGATGTGACAAATTAATTTTGGGTGTGAATTATAGCCCCCCAAACCTTGATAGGGAGCGCAGTAAGCTGTTATGGGGCGAAATTCATAAGGCATCTAGATATGAAAATGATGCGATAATGGGAGATTTTAATTTTAGACAAATTGATTGGAACAATATGACAGGAAATCTTGAGACCCGTGACTTTCTGATACGGTCTGATTGCTTTTAAACAGGTGTGACAGAACCAAAATAGAGGAAAACAATCTGCTTGACTTGGTTCTTGCCAACAAAGATTCACTAATTAATAATCTTGAGGTTAATGATGAGCTTGGGGAAAGTGATCACAAATCACTTAGTTTCTATATATCATGGAATTACCCAGATAACTGCAGTCAAATCTCTGTCCCAGATTTTCGCTTGGCTGACTTCATGGGACTGAAAAATTACCTTGGTGGGCTAAATTGGGATGTCCTGATTATGGGTCAGGTAGGTGATCTTGGTTTCCAATATGAGGTTTTTCAGAGCATAGTTCTAGCTGCCCAGACAACTTTTGTTCCGAGGATGAAAATTAGATTTAACAAAAATGATCCCAAATGGATGAACAATAGATTAACACATCTCATTGGTCAAAAGAGAGGCATATATAGTCGTATCAAAAGAGGAGATGGGAAGTTAAGAAATCAGTATATTCAATTAAAGAGAGAAATAAGGAAAGGAATAAGAAACGCGAAAAAGTATTATTAAGCTAAGGTCGCAAGGGATTCAAAGACTAACCCAAAAGGATTCTTTCAGGTATACAGAAGTAAGATTAGGGACAAGATTGGCCCACTTAAGAGTAACTCTGGTCAGATCACTGACAGTGATAAGGATATGAGTGAATTCTCAATACCTACTTCCTCTCAGCTTTCATCCAGGAAAATACTAGCGATATTCCTGAAATAATAGATTATGTAGAACAGGATGATAAACTATGTACGACTGCAGTAACTAGTGACATGGTCCTCAGACAAATAGGAAACTAAAAACCTAACAAATTCCCCCGGTCCTGATGAACTGTTTGCAAGGGTGTTAAAGGAACGTAAAGAGGAACTTAGCATACCTTTGGCTAATCTTTTCAACATATCACTACAAACTGGCATAGTGCCTGATAAGTGGAAAATGGCAAATGTAATACCTATTTACAAGGCAGGTGACAGGTTCTTAGCTTCAAACTATAGACCAATAAGCCTTACCTCCATAGTGGGAAAATTTATGAAATCAATAATTGCTGAAGCAATTTGTAGCCGTCTTGATAGGCACAGATTGATTAATGAATCTCAACACGGTTTTACAGAGGGGCGTGCCTCTCTTACAAATTTACTAACTTTTTTCACTAAGGTGTTTGAGGAGGTAGATCATGGTAATGAATATGATATCGTGTTTTTGGACTTCAGTAAGGCTTTCGATAGAGTTCCACACCAGAGGCTATTGAGGAAACTTAAGGCACACGGAAAAGGAGGAGAATTTTTTTTCCTGTGTAAAGGCATGGCTAACAAATAGACAGCAAAGACTTTGCATAAATGGGGAGAAGTCAGAATGGGGGCACGTCACAAGTGGTGTTCCTCATGGGTAAGTGTTGGGCCCGTTGTTGTTTACAATTTACATAAAAGACATAGAAGAGGGAATAAATAGGGACATAAGCAAATTTGCTTATGACACCAAAATAGGCTGTCCAATGCAGTCTAATGAGGACACTAGAGCACTCCAGGATGATTTGAATAGACTGATGCAGTGGTCGGAGAAGCGGCAGATGCAGTTTAATATTGACAAATGCAAAGTTCTAAATGTTGGACAGGTAAATAACCATGCCACATATATACTAAATAATGTAGATCTTAATACTACTGATTGCAAAAAGGATTTAGGAGATCTGGTTAGCAGTAATCTAAACCAAAACAACAGTGCATTAGTGTTCGCAATAAAGCTAATACAATTCTTGGCTTCATATCTAGAAGTATAAATATTAGAAGTCCTCAAGTTGTTCTTCAACTCTATATATCCTTGGTTAGGCCTCATTTAGACTATGCTGCTCAGTTCTGGCCACCGTATTACAGAATGGATATAAATGCTCTGGAAAATGTACATAGGAGGATGACAAAGACGATCCCATGTATTAGAAATCTTTCCTATGAGGATAGACTGAGGGCCCTGAATCTGCACTCTCTCGAAAGGCGTAGAATTAGGGGTATATGATCGAGGTGGATAAATGGAAAACAGGAATAAATAAAGAGGAAATAAATAGCATGCTGAAAATTTTCAGCCAAGAAAGGACTCGCAGCAATGGTTTCAAGTTGGAAAAATCCATATTCAGGAAGGATATTGGAAAGCACTGGTTTGGTAGTAGAGCTGTGGATGAGTTATACAAACTCCCGAGTACAGTTATTGAGGCTAAAACGTTGTATAGTTTTAAAAATAGGTTAGATAAATACATGAGAGGTTGTGGGTGTGTGTGAGTTGGACCTGACTAGCTTGTGCTGCTGGGTCTGGTGCAGTGCTCCTTTCTTTAGTGGAGGTGACCAGACTGGGTGGGTCATTGGGCTTATCCTGGGGGGTGGGTCATTGGGCTAATCCTGGAGTGGGACATGGACCTGCTCCGCATGGGTCAGTAGGCCTGTTGCAGTGTTCCTTCTTTCTTATGTTCTTATGATCTTAAGATAACAAAAATATATAAATTGTAAAAATAATTATTATTATTATTATTGAGGTGAGGGAGATTCATTTCTCTTCTCCCTGAATATTTGTGTCACTGGTGCCACAGGCCGCAAGGTCAGCCTTCTCGCTTACAAGGGTGCCACTGTAGTTGGCTTAAAATTTAAACATACTGGTCTACTTATTTTACATTCCTAGATCAACTTAACTATGTAATTATACTCAAGACTTTGCATTATATTTATTAATAAAGCCTGACAACAAAACTAGCCTTACAATTAAGACTTTCGGAGTGAAGACTTGGCACCATGGTAACACCCCACCAGCTTACTCCCTTTCTGACCCCCCTTCCCTTTAATCGCCTTCTCAACCCCTTTTACAACTTCTATAAGTGAGAAACTCATTTGACTGAGTCTTCCAGACTAGATAATATGATCGTCAATTGTGGTAAAAAAATTTAACATAATAATAATAATAATAATAATAATAATAATAATAATAATAATAATAATAATAATAATAATAATAATAATATCTTTATTTACTAAAATGTACATGTACAAGGTAAACAGGCCTACTGACATCAATGACATACTAGACTACTATATGGAAAGCTCCTTGTTATGCAGAGCATTTCACGCAAATTAGGTCATTGTCCCAGGATGCGACCCACACCAGTCGGCTAACTCCCAGGTACCCATTTTATTGATGGGTGAACATAGACATCTGGTGTAAAGAAACACACCAAATGTTTCTACCTGCACTGGGAATCTAACACAGACCCTCACCGTGTGAAGCGAGAACTTTAGCCACCAGGCCACAGGCCTGGTTATAAAATAAAAAAAATACGAAAATTGATAGAAAATTGACGAAATTACGCTTTCGCAAATTTTGCTGTCAGCGATATTTACGCATCGGTGATTTTTCCCAATTTAACTCCTCTTTTAGGCCAATTATATTGTTCGAGCCGACCAAATTCTTAGCTATTTCACTGGAATGTCTTCTATTTTATCGATTGAGCACAAGAAACTGCCTAATCACCTATTTCAACTACCCAATAAAGTGATCAGAAATTGGTAATTTGGCAAATTTCACACAAATTTCAAAATATTTCATTTTCAAAATAAGCTCAAGAATTAACAATACAGACGTTAAAGCACTATAATAACATTTTCTATATTCATTTATTACGTTTCCAGGCTATACACATTAATTCCATTTTGATTTTTTATTCAGTACATTCATTAACACACTTTAGACCCACCAGTTGACGTGTACTGGACGCGTGATGTGATTTGTTTACTCTTGAACATCGGAAAAAAATTACCATTTTCGCTACTTTGAGCTCAGTTTCAAGTTATTTTCATTCCTGAAACCAATCAAAGTCATGTTTAATTCTATAACATGAAACATTCTCTCCAATGAGACTAAGAAACCGCAAATACAACCGGAAAACTATGACAATACACTGCAAATTAGCTGCTTTAATCCAAAAACATGGTCGCAATTTTGTTTTTCTCATTATGCACTGTGTGCTACAGGAAATTTTTTTATATGGGGCACATTTACCACATAGACCTATTCTCGTATATCTAGGCCCAAATTTACCGCTCACAGCTTATGTGAGTGAGCTGAGCTCATGACGTAGAACTACGTCAGTATGCTGTATACCAGTGAAATGAAGCAAGAAAACAATCTGCTCGGGGTTAGGGCGTCTCTGCTCATGTGCTGCATTTTGACAAGCTCATGAATTAATTCAGGTCACCACACATTCATTTTTTAAATGACTTGTTTATTGCAGATGGAAGTGTGCGACTTGGCCAAAGATGAGAGGTCAGGGGAGGACAACCCAGCCTTCAGTGATGAGGAGAATGACCAACACAGTAAGTAAACCAATAATTATGCACAAAATTTCGAACAGGCAATAACAACATGTGTTACCGAGAAATAGATGGCAAAAAAAAAAGGAAATGATTCGAAGTTCAATTATGGTACTTCTATAATGCAAATGTGAGTTTGAAACAAATTCTTAGATGATCAGGAGGGCCCAGAGTGGTAGTGGCACATCACCTGATGGCTAAATCCGATGGTGAGCAAGACGATGTATGTTCCATGATTGTGTCTGCTTCCATGGTGACATTGTGACTACTTTTTTGTGTAACTTTCTATTTTATTAAAACAATCAGAGAGGCTTCCAAATATTGATGTCTGCTGAGCTTTGGCACCATAATAATTATCTGTATATCAACCCAATCTACAACATGCCCCTCTGTGTTCTCGTGAACAATGCTTAAGTTATTCAGGTTGTCCATGTTGAATGTATATTTGTGTTTGTTGATGTTTGCAGACACACTTCTACCATTTTTTCTCCTAAATGCTTCTCTTTCGCAGTGACTACACAGAATCGTGTTTTCACCGGAGGAGCTGTTTACCCCTGAAGTGTCGGATGATAAATACTTACACATGCATTTGCAGTCATACAGGAATTAGAAATTGAAGGCAATCATATTACATGTTCTTTTTCATAAATGCTACTTAAGTGGCTAACCTGAGGAGGTTTTGACTGAAGGGCGTAAGTATGTGAAGAAACATACACACATATACAAAACAAGTCTATTTATGCGATGTTTCGATCTAAGTAGAGTTTCTTTAAGTCAATATGAATTGAAAAATGTCGAGCGGTTAAGTCGCATGTCATATATCTGTACCTGCCTCATTTGCCTAGTTTCTGTAATTAAACAGTAAATTGTAAAGGAAAATATTCTTTTACAGAAGGTAACGTTAAGAAACAAGTAGTCGGGGAGGCTGGCAAGTCCTCCGAGAAGGACCTCACACCGGAGGAGAAACAAGAGAAGTTTTTAATCATGAAGAACATCGTCATCATCTCCATTGCTTTCACCTTACTCTTCACTAGCTTCGGTTCAATGGCTAATCTCCAGTCTTCCATTAATAAGTGAGTGAAGTACAGTAATCCATCGTCACCAGCTTCAGACATGTGTTTCTTTAAAGAATGCTAAAGTACGTCTTATTAAAACTGTTTTTTATTATATATAATTTTATATATATATATATATAATTTATATAATATATTATATATATATATATATATATTATATATTTTATATTATATATTTATATATTATTTATATATATATTATATATATATTATTATAAATATATATATATATTTATATTATATGATATTAATATATATATAATATATATATATATATATTATAAAATATATTATATTATGTATTTATATATATATATGTATGTAAATTTATATATATATATTATATATATATATATATTTATGTATGTATTAATATTTTTATATAATATATATATATATTTTAAAATATATATATATATATATATATATATTTATGTTTTGTATATATATATATATATATTATATATTATATATATTTTGTATGTTTATATATATATATATTTTATATATATAAAATATTTATATATATATATATATATTATATATTATATATTATTTTTATATATATATTATTATATATATATATATTATGTATATATATATATATATATTATATATATTATAATATATATATTATATATATATATAAAAATATATTTTATATATTTATATGATAATATTATATATATATATAAAATATATTATTATATAATTTTATATTTTATTTATTTTATATATATAATATTATTATATATATATTATATATATATATTATATTTATAATATATATATATAAAATATATATATAATATAATTTATTATATATATTTATTTAATATTATATAATATATATATATATTTATTATTATATATACACATTACAAATAACACTGACAAAACTTTTGAAAATTCAAAGCGATATTGTGAAAGCTCTTGGAATTTCACTATTTTCTCACTGTGTATTTTTTTTTTTTTTTTTTTTTTTTTGCATATTGTGGTATCACATGTTTACTGTCATCTTATTATGTATATATATGATGAAATAATTAGAGAAGAATGGACACCACGAGTAACAGTTCTGATCGTGTAATTGCAAATAGTTTATTGCAAATATATAACTACTTACACAGTTTTAACCCGGTTTTATTAATAGGAAAACTTGACTGCTTATAAACTATACCACGGGTGGGACTTAAACCCGCGGTCAGAGAGTCTCAAAACTTGAGACCGTCGCGTTAGCCACTGCGCCAGCTAACTTCAATAACAATATAAACACATATGCAGTATAATGTGATTCTTTATTGACAACGTTTCGCCACACAGTGGGCTTTTTCAAGTTACAAACAGATCTACCTGGGGTGGAAGGTACGCGAGTATTTATAGTCAGGTTCAGAATGCTGTGGTCAGGTGGAGAATGCTGCATCTGATGATGTACCGAGTGGGGTTATAGAGTCTTAAATCTTGGGTAGCTTGGAAGGGAGATTGGATAATTTCGTGAGCAGACCTTCTGCAATGTTCTTCCATTCCTATGCTCTTGTGTGGGATAGCGATGAAGAAGTTTCTTGGCAAGTGGTTCAGCTATGTTATGGAAGCCATTGTTCTGGTTGAAGTTGTCGGATATAGAGATAAGCGATGATTCCAGGATTCTTCAGTATTGAGTGTTGTCTTCTCTGGCGATAAGTCTTGAGTTTCTGTAGTTTATTAAATGCTTGTGTGAATTACGGTGTTGTACACAGGCATTCCTTGTATCGTCAGACCTGTTTGCGTATTGGTGTTCTGAAATACGTGTTTGGAGGTCCCTTGAAGTTTCGCCCACGTATAATTTGCTGCAGTCATTACAAGGGATAATATATACCCCTGCAGAGGATAGAAGCTTGTCCTGTCTGTTACTGGTAATGTCCTTGATGGTCGTGGTTGTGGAGGTAGATACTTGGAATGAGGCATTGGAAAAGATGTTGGAAACGTGTTTGGCAATGGAGTTGGTGGGGAGGACTATGTATCTCTTCTCGGCAGTGTCTTCTCTGGGTGTCTTGAAGATGTTCAATGCCCGTCGTCTGCAGTCTCTGATGAAGTGACGATGATAGTGGAGTTTAGAAAATACTTGTTCAATTATAGTGCATTCTTCCTCAAGAAACTCATTGCTGCAGATTCTGAGTGCGTGCAGGAAGAATCCTATAATTACACCACGTTTAGTTTTGGTATCGTGGTGAGAGTAGAAGTGGAGAAGATCGTTTTGGTTGGTGGGTTTTCGATAGACTTTAAAACGAAGTTCATGGTCATCTTTGCAGAGAAGAACATCAAGGAAAGGAAGAGTGTTGTTGACTTCTTCAAGTGTGAACTGGATTGAGGGCTCGACCTGGTTGAGCTTGTCTTGCAGAGTTTGAACGTTGAAGTGATGACGACATTCTTCTCAAAACTCCTAGTCGCTTCAACGTTCAAGCTTTCCAAGACAAGCTCAACCAGGTCGAGTCCTTAATCCAGTTCACACTTGAAGAAGTCGACAACACTCTTCCTTTCCTTGATGTTCTTCTCTGCAAAGCTGACCATGAACTTCGTTTTAAAGTCTATCGAAAACCCACCAACCAAAACGATCTTCTCCACTTCTACTCTCACCACGACACCAAAACTAAACGTGGTGTAATTATAGGATTCTTCCAGCGCACACTCAGAATCTGCAGCAATGAGTTCCTTGAGAAAGAATGCACTATAATTAAACAAGTATTTTCTAAACTCCACTATCCTCGTCACTTCATCAGAGTCTACAGGCGACGGGCATTAAACATCTTCAACACACCCAGAGAAGACACTGCCGAGAAGAGATACATAGTCCTCCCCACCAACTCCATTGCCAAACACGTTTCCAACATCTTTTCCAATGCCTCATTCCAAGTACCTACCTTCAAAACCACGACCATCAAGGACATTACCAGTAATAGATAGGACAAGCTTTCATCCTCTGCAGGGGTATACATAATCCCTTGTAATGACTGCAGCAAATTATACGTGGGTGAAACATCAAGGGACCTCCAAATACGTATTTCAGAACACCAAAACGCAAGCAGGTCTGACGATACAAGGAATGCCTGTGTACAACGCCGCAATTCACACAAGCATTTAATAAACTACAGAAACTCAAGACTTATCGCCAGAGAAGACAACACTCAATACTGAAGAATCCTGGAATCATCGCTTATCTCTACATCCGACAACTTCAACCAGAACAATGGCTTCTATAACATAGCTTAACCACTTGCCAAGAAACTTCTTCATCGCTATCCCACACAAGAGCATAGGAATGGAAGAACACTGCAGAAGGTCTGCTCACAAACTTATCCAATCTCCCTTCCAAGCTACCCAAGATTTAAGACTCTATAACCCCACTCGGTACATCATCAGATGCAGCATTCTCCACCTGACCACAGCATTCTGAACCTGACTATAAATACTCGCCTACCTTCCACCCATGGTAGATCTATTTGTAACTTGAAAAAGCCCACTGTGTGGGCGAAACGTCGTCAATAAAGGATCACACTATACTGCATATGTGTTTATATTTCCATTGTGTCGGTATTTTATACCATTTATTTTCAGGTTCAATAAGATTCGTCCATAAAGATACCCAAGAGTTGCACATGTGTCTAATTTATCAACAAGTCGGTTCTCTGAACCATTCATCTACAAACCTGTCAGACACTGCAACTTCTTGGGATCTTAATACTTGGGAATTCTTCGCTTGCCTAATTCTTGGGCACGACCTACTTCAACATTGAACAAATGTTACACGACCTATGACTGCTGCACCTCTCCTGCCAACGGTTTATAAGCTCCTTCTCAGCATGTATGCCGTATTCTATTCAAGATTGATGGACTGACCACATCGACTCAAGGTTGAGGGACTGATTACCTCATTCTCCTCCTGTTCTTCAAGATTCTCCTTTGTATGGACTGATGAAGCCACTGTGTGGCGAAACGTTTCCTCAATAAAGATACCCAAGAGTTGCACATGTGTCTAATTTATCAAGATTCGTCCAACTAGGTATATTTCTACACCATAGGAAGGTTAGCATAGGCACCACTGTGTCCACAAATGCACGTTTTTACAGGCGAATCTCTCGCTAGCATGGCCGTGGCGAACTCTAGCTCAAGTCCCCTCAAAGCCGTCAACATGACTCACGAAATCGTAATGACACGATTGCAAACAAACCATACCACGGGCGGGAATTGAACCCGCGGTCAGAGAGTCTCAAAACTCCAGACTGTCGCGTTAGCCACTGGGCCAGCTAGCTTCAATAAGATTCGTCCAACTAGGTGTATTTCTACACCATAGTAAGGTTATCATAGGCACCACTGTGACCACAAATGCAAGTTTGAGCTAGAGTTCGTCACGGCCACGCTAGCGGGAGATTCGTCTGTAAAAACTTGCATTTGTGGTCACAGTGGTGCCTGTGCTAACCTTCCTATGGTGTAGAAATACACCTAGTTGGACGAATCTTATTGAAGCTAGCTGGCCCAGTGGCTAACGCGATGGTTTTGAGACTCTCTGACCGCGGGTTCAAATCCCGCCCGTGGTATGGTTTGTTTGCAATCGTGTCATTACGATTTCGTGAGTCATCTTGACTTGACTGCTTATGAGTGGCTTCGCGGACTGTGATACAACCGGAGGGGGAGGTGGGAGGGACGAGTGGAAGGGGAACTGGGAGGGACGAGAGGAGGGGGAGATGGGAGGAACGAAGGGGAAAGGAATGGATGTCGGGAGAATGTTAAGAATTATTATTATTATAATCAAGGGGAAGCGCTAAACCCGTAGGATTATACATCGCCTGGGGGGGATGTGGAAGGCATTCAGGCTTAATTCGGAGAACTGGAGCACAAATCCAATTCCCTAAATCAAGAGCCCATCAACAACATGAAGGAACCTTCCTTGAGGGGAGAATTTTAAGAAAACAAGAGGAAAATAAAGAGGGAGTGGAGAAGATAGATGAATAGGTAGGAAAGTGAGAATAAGGTTAACCCAAGTATCAAGTCTTCATTTGAAATACTACCCAGGTAGGTAAGTAGGTAGGTAGAAACAAGTATTCATTGGAGATATTGCCCAGATAGGTAAATAGGCAGTTAGATAGGTAGTTACGATTTTGGTCCAGTTGAGGTACTACCCAGGTAGTATGATGAGTCACTGTGGCAGTTACACTTCCACGACTATCTCAGCTGAAGCACAAACTCTACTATTACTGCTGCACATACTTAACCCCTTCATATACTTAAACAGAATGTTCATCACAAATTGATGAGTACACACACACACACACACACACACACACACACACACACACACACACACACACACACACACACACACACACACTCACACACACACACACTCACACACACACACACACGAAAGTCTAGTGTCTACTGACAAGTGCCTATGGAAAACAGTTACTAAAACATCCACATATACTGTACTGATAAGGGCAGATTGTTCGAGAGACGAGAAGTAGGTACAGGAGGGCACAGCTGGAAGTTGGAAATGCAGATAATTCACAGGGATGTTGGGAAGTAGTTTTTCAGCCTTAGAGTGTTCAGGAAGAGGAACGACCTGGACAGTGAAGTGGTAGCAGTAGAATCTATACATTGTTAAAAAAAGTAGTACAAAAAGGCTCTTGAAGCCAGAAGAGAGTGAACTCAATACCGGCCAGCGAAAAGGCGAGTTCAGGAGCTGAGACTCGACCCCCTGCAACTACATATAGGCAAATACATATAGAAAAGTACACAGAGTGCACAGCCCCATCATGGAGGTCCCATGTATGAAATCTCGAAAAAATCCAGAGGTTTGAAATATGACTTGTCCCAGAGCTGAGGTTAAAGAAGTTGACCCTCGGTAGATATGATTACGATATACAAGATACTCAGAGAATTTGAATGAGAATAATGGACAATTTTTTGGAATTACGAGACATTCGAGCAAGGAATGACAGATAGAAGGTAAAGACACAGATAAGCCATTGGTATGTTAGAAAATACTTTTTCAGTCTTAGGGCAGTAAATAAGTTAAATGAGCTAAGTGAGGGAGTGGTACAGGCAAACTCAATACACAGTTTCAAGGGTAGGTGTGTTACGTCCCACGAGGCCAGGAACAACAAAGCTAACTATTGTAGTTGAAGAGGTGGGGCCAGGAGCTGAGATTCTGTCCCTCAAACACAACTTGGTGTGTACAACTCAGTAAGTAGAAACACACTGTCATAATCTGCTGATTTTGCAGGACTGATGGAACAGCCGCAATGACTGTTCTTTATGGTGCTTTCGTCTTCTCCTGTTGCTTCTTGCCGTCGTGGCTGCTGTCGTTGTTAAAGGAGAAGTACACACTGGCACTCTCCATACTCTGCTACTCCTCCTACATCGCAGCTCAGTTCTACCCACAGATCTACACTCTCGTGCCTACAGCCTTCATCCTGGGTTTGGGGGCTGCCCCACTCTGGGCCTCCAAGTGCATTTACTTAACCAAGGTGTGGCCACAGCAGACAAATTCGGGGTTTAAATTACCTATTGTATGTGATTTATAAATTTTTATAAAGATAATTAATTCCGTACCGTTCCTATAATTTTACATTATATGGTCACAGTTTACGGCTGATGTTTTTAAAATTATTTTAATACATGCAAAAGTTGGGTTTGCTTGATGGGTAAGTCACTTGAATAATAAATTTAAACCTGGAATTAATGACAGTATATCTTCAACTTCATCAGTTTAAAATATTTGCACTGTCCCTTTTCTTTTGTTGTTTTGTGGTAACAAATTATTTATTGCTTTATATAGGACTAAACATGGGGTTTTGACTGTCATATTAAATATTTAATTTTGTTATCTTCTGTAGATGATGCAGATTGTAATCATGTTTTTTTTTCTCGTGAAACACAATCCAGTGAAATTATTTTTCCACTGAAACGTTGAAAATTATGGAGCACTATGAAAGTTTGATGTAGACATATCATTGGATCTGCCTCAAAATGCCCCAGTGTTGTGGAGATGTATAATTGGCTCTTCCTTGTTGTAGGTTGCGCTGAGATACGCCAGTATTGTGGGCGAGAACAGTGATGTCATCATAACAAAGTTCTTCGGCATTTTCTTCATGTTCTTCCAGTTTGCTGGAGTGTTCGGTAGCCTTATTGTTTCCTCAGGTAGAGAGCCATTGTGTTTATATTTTATGTATGAGAAAAATATGATCTAAAAAGAAAAACTTTCGTTTTTCTTTTGGGCCACCCTGCCTCGGTGGGATACGGCCGGTTTGTTGAAACTAGAAAAATATGATCTATATCGAGCCCTCTCTTTCTCTCTTTCACTTAATATTTCTTTCCCAACAGTGTTGTCTGTGGGTGTGGACGAAGTCAACAGGACGGAGGCGGAGCTACTCTCCTGTGGGTACAACTTCTGCATTTCTAAGCCCACCAGAGAGCTAAAGGATACGCTCCTTAAAAAATATTCGACGTCTTTATTTATGAACCGATTACATTCATTTTTGGTGTACTATTAGAAGCTTATATCGAGTATGCTCTGCTGAAGTTTCAAAAATATCGGCCAAAAAGGAAATGAAATATGCAAAATTTACGAAAAATTACATTTGGCAGGGGACCTGTACTTAGTGGTACTTGGAAAAGTGGTTTTGACTCTTTCTGCTGATAGAACACTTCTAATTCCATCATTTTAAAGAGTAAAATTATATAATAACTCTTATCTTCATGCTAAAAAAAAATAAAGTTTCATAACTTTTTTTGACATTTTGGAAGATGTCGGTCTTGTTCCCCACACAAATCTGAAAATATTTGGGATAGTTCAGAAAGGTACCATACAACTTGTAAAGCAATCATTCTTCTATGTTTGTTGTGAAAATCAAGTCAATTCATTCATAAATAAGGATGCAATCACCCTAAATAGGTAAATAAGTTACTTTCGAGATATAGGCCCAAGCGCGCGGCACCCCCGCTGCCCGGGAAATAATTTTTTTCCCCGAAAAATTCGCTTTATTTTACACTTTTTCCGCGACCTACGAGTGTTTATTACGGTTAACCATTGTAAATACGTTTTCTCTCATCACTGATGAGAGAGGGCGGACCCTCTCTTCACCTTCAGGGGAAATATCGATAGAAATTTATTCCTTGGGGCGTCATATTATGCTATATATTTTTTTTTGAGGTGTAATTTTTATGTTTATATGCTATTATTATATTGCATTATATCATAATAGATCAATTGTGATAGATAAATAAGCCTTATAATTGATATTAGCGTGGGTATGGAATATTTTGTTGGCTGGAGGTGTCGGCCATTTATGCACTATTCCCATGGGTTCCCGATTGGTTCCTTGACCTATTATCTCCGCCCACACGGCATGATCTCAGATGGTGAAATTTGTATTATATTAGACATAAAAGATGTACGAAAACGATAAAAATAACACGGGGAAAAGCGTCACAAAAACGTCAACAAAGTTGAGTCAGCGCTTCTTACGCGACATGTTGGGGTCAGCGCTGTCACCATGCCTGTTATAAATGGCTGTAATTCCTTTTAGAAACATCGTACAAGGATAATAATTATACCAGCGTGTAGCCAGAAAGTTCAGCTATTTTTTGGTAACAATAACTCCATTTTCATATATTTTCGATTTTTTTTTTGCTCCGCGCGCTTAACAACAGCGACTTCAGCGAGAGGGAAGGCCCGCCTCTCTGGCAGATTTACACCTTAGCTTCTACCTTCCTCCTCTGCTCCCTCCTCTCCTCTTTAGTCGTCATAATCTTCGTTGATCCTATAAGCGCGTGAGTCAACCTAGTGATTGGTAAAAGTATACACATTCCTACTAGGGTGGGACCTTATTCTAAATGTTAGTTGCATAGTTAGAACCAGGCTATATATATTATATTTAAAAATATATATATATATATATATTATTTTATATAGTTTATATATATATATTATATATATATTTATATATTATATATATAATATATATATATAATATATATATAAATATTATTATATATATATAATAATATATATATATTTATTATAACATACATATAATATATATATATATATATTTTACATATATATATATATATATATATAATATTTATATATATATATAAAATTATATATTATAAATATATATATATACATATATATATATATATATATATATATATATTTTATATATAATATATATACATAATATATATAATATATATATATATATATATATTATTTTAAATTATATATTATATATATATATATATATATTTATATATTATATATATATATTATTTTAACATACATACATATATATATATATATATATATATATATATATATATATTATATATATATATATATATATATATATATATATATATATATATATATATATGTCGTGCCGAATAGTAAAACTGGTCAATTAGCAAAAACTCATTTAAAATTAAATCCTTTCTAAAAATTTCTCTTATACAATTTAAAGATATATTTTTTTCATTAAAGTTAATGTAAAAATTTTTATTTTGCACCAAAAGAAACTTAGAAAACTTACCTAACCTTATTATAACAAAACAATTTATTTTAGCCTAACCTAACTAAATATATTTTAGATTTGTTTACAATAATTTAATACTAAACAAACACAATGAAATATACTTTTTTCGTTAGATTCAGAGTGATTTGGCGAAATTATTGCATACACAAATTTTTCATTTGTCCTATATGGAAAGATGAGCGTTGCTATTTAAGCCAAGATCGCAAGTTCTGCCTATTGGGCACGACATATATATATATATTTATATATATATATATATATATATATATATGTATTATATATATACATACATACATATATTTTTATATATAATATATATATTTTATATATTATTTATATATATATTATATATATATAATATATATAAAAATATATATTTTTAAATATATATATTATATATTTATATTATATATATATATAAATATTTTATATATATATATATATACTATAAAATATATTATATATATTATATATATATATATATATTATATATATATATATATATTTATATATATATATATATATATATTTTATATATATATATTTTAAAAATATATATATATAAATATATATATAAAATATATACAGTCCTGTCATTTTCCTTCACAAAGGATAGATTTTATACACTGGGTGATGAACTCTCCCGCCAGAGCTAGGAGTATTCATCAAGGCGATGAGGATATCGTCAAACATTCCTCTATAGGTTCAGTAGCTTAATTAGTATTTCAGTTTGGGTCGAATAAGTGAAGGAGTTAGGGCATAAATTTTTCTTTTTTCGGCATTATGTGAACACTTACAGTGTTGTTATACCAGACGTTAAGTTGAAAGACGTAAACAATGTCTGCTGTAAGCTTTATTCTCAAAACTATTATAGAATTATCATTATTATAAGAGCGGCAAATGAGAACTATGACTCTCTTCCAGCTTTAAAGAGGTAGAAAGTGACTATGAAGAGCGTAAGGGCAGTTTACAACTGCTAGTTGCCACTTTCAACCATCTGCGGCACCCATACCAGCTGCTCATTGTGCCCCTCACCATCTGGTCAGGTCTTGAACAAGGTTTTCTCTCTGCAGACTACACCGCAGTGAGTACTCTCTCTGCAAGTTCTTTTACACGTGACTTCCATTTTTTGGGATTACAAAAACAAAACAATTGTTTTTACCCGGTAAGTGTTCATGTACAATAGACTTCGCTTATATTTATACTTAAATTCGATATTTGGGTGAACATTTGTGTATTTAATCAAATGTTTGTGTATATTACGTTTTTGTATGAGGACTATTTCTTTTCGTGGATAGAGGTAGGATAGTATTTATATATAAATAAAATTATAAAAATATATAAATATTATATATATATATATATAATATATTATATATATTAAATATATTTTTAATAGTAATATAATATATATATATATTTTTTAATATATATATAAAGTATTATATATATAATAATTATATATTATATATTATATATAAATATATTATATATATATATATATATTTTGAAATATATATATATATAATATATATAAATATTATTTTATTATTATATAATATAATATATATAAATAATAAATAATATAGTTCAGAGGGGGATTGGGGACGATGAGTCTGGCCCCTAATCCCACCCTCATGTCCTTGGTGGCGTGTGGGTGTTTCACCTAGTTTACTCCCCTAGTTGAGGTTCAGGGTCGAGTCATGCCCCGGGCCCCGCCTTTTCACTGGTCCTACTAGGTCATTTCCCCCCCCTAAACCCGTGGCTTTATCATACCCTGCTTAAAGCTACGTATGGTCTTGCCTCATCTCGCTTCCCAAATTTTCCATTTCCTGACTACTCTGGGGCTGAAGAAATTTTTCCAAACATCCTGTGATTTTCTGTGTCTTAAATTTTCCAATGTGTCCTCTTGTTGCTGTGCCCATCTCGGGAATTTTCTCTCTCTCCCCCTTTTGTAAATTCCCTCTATTTTTTTGGATGTCGTTTATCGTGCCCCCCCGCTATCTCCCTGCCTCAGTGTCGCAGGTCGATTTCCCAAAACCTCCCTGTAGGCATACCCTTTAGCTCGGGGACTAGTCTAGTTGAAACCTTGCATTCTCTATTTTCTTTACGGCTTCCTGGGTGGGGGTTTCCCAAAGGGCCCGATACTCCAATAGGGGCCTAACTACACGGTGAAAGGGCCCGAACGTTTCTTATTAAATGTGGGGAATGCTGTTTGATTTTTGCTGGGTGCCCGTATGTGCAGCAGTTATTTGGTTGTGTGGTTCAGGAGATTCCCGGGTGTTATACCACCCAAAAAATTTTTTTCCTTGAGTGAATTTTGTAGTCTCTGCCCCCCTAACTGTAAATCCGTCTGCAGTCTTCTTTGTCCTTCCCCAATCTTCAGCATTTTTTTGGGGGGGTTGAACTCGGGGCCAATTGCGGGCCAGGCTTGGAGCCTACCAATCCCCCTTTACTCTGCCTGGTTTCGTTCGTTGAATTTTTCCCCATCAACTTCACGTCACTGCCCAAAGGGACACTTCGGATCTTATTCCCCCCGTCTGTCGTTCACTAATACCAGAAACGCCCCCGGTCTAGAAATGACCCCTGTGGAACCCCCTCGTCCAGGGCCCCCTCTGACACCTCGCCTCTACTAGGCTTGCGCTGTCTTCCTGAGGATATTTTCCTTTTTCCCTTTTTGCCCTTTCCCCTTTTTCCCTTCTGATCCTCCAGCTTTTTTCATAATCTCTTTTTGTGGAACTTTTCAAACGCCCCTTTTACAGTCCAAGAAATGCAATCTACCCACCCCCCTCTCCCTTTTTCTTACGCTGTACCCGTCATAGAACTTTAAAGGTTTTTGACACAGGGTTTCCCGTCCCTGAAACCAAGGTATTCCCCCATTTTTCCGAAATCTTTTCCAATTTTTCATATTATACACGTCGTGACATGGTCTTAGTTTGGCTTCTTTTGTCTCTTTTTTTTTTTTAAATTGGGACCACATTTGCTGTCTTCCATAAATCAGGTAATTTCTCTGTTTCGATAGATGTGCTTAATATTGTTGTTATGGGTACACATAGTAGCTCTGCACCCTCTCTAAGGACACATGGAGAGATGTTATCCGACCCCATCGCTTTTGAGATGTCTAGCTCACTCAGCAGCCTCTTCTCTTCTTCCTCGGTTGTATGTATTGTGTCCAACACTTGGTGGTGTACCCCACCTCTCCGTCATTCTGGAGTCCCTTCTATCTCCTCTGTGAACTCTTCTTTGAATCTCATGTTGAGTTCCTCACATACTTCTCGGTCGTTTCTTGTTGTCTCTCCTCCTTCCTTCCTCAGCCTGATTACCTGGTCCTTGACTGTTGTTCTCCTCCTGATGTGGCTGTACAACAGCTTCGGGTCAGATTTGGCTTTCGCTGCTGTGTCATTTTCACAATGTCATTGGGCCTCCCTTCTTACCTGTGCATATTCATTTCTGGCTCTACGACTGGTCTCCTTATTCTCCTGGGTCCTTTGCCTTCTATTCTTCTTCCATTCCCTAGCACACTTGGTTTTAGCCTCCCTGCACCTTTGGATGAACCATGGGCTCATCGTGGCTTTTTCATTAATCCTGTTTCCCTTGGGTACAAACCTCTCTTCAGCTTCCTTGCATATTGTTGTTTCGTATTCCATCATCTCGTTTACCTGCCAGTTCCTTGTCCCACTGTGTGTGTGCGCGTGTATATGTGTGTGTGTGAGTGTGTGTGTGTGTGTGTGTGTATGTGTGTGTGTGTGTGTGTGTGTATGTGTATGTGTGTACTCACCTATTTGTACTCACCTATTTGTGGTTGCAGGGGTCGAGTCCTAGCTCCTGGCCCCGCCTCTTCACCGGTTGCTACTAGGCCCTCTCTCTCCCCGCTCCATGAGCTTTATCAAACCTCGTCTTAAAACTGTGTATGGTTCCTGCCTCCACTACGTCATTTTCTAGGCTATTCCACTGCCTTACAACTCTATGACTGAAGAAATACTTCCTACTATCTCTCTGACTCATTTGTGTCTTCAACTTCCAATTGTGGCCTCTTGTTTCTGTGTCCCCTCCCTGGAACATCCTGTCTTTGTCCACCTTGTCTATTCCACGCAGTATTTTATATGTCGTTATCATGTCTCCCCTGACCCTCCTGTCCTCCAGTGTCGTCAGGCCGATTTCCCTTAATCTTTCTTCATAGGACATTCACCTTAGCTCTGGAACTAACCTTGTCGCAAACCTTTGTACTTTCTCTAGTTTCTTGACGTGCTTTATCAAGTGCGGGTTCCAAACAGGTGCTGCATACTCCAGTATGGGCCTGACATACACGGTGTACAGTGTCTTGAATGATTCCTTACTAAGGTATCGGAATGCTGTTCTCAGGTGTGTGTGTGTGTGTGTGTGTGTGTGTGTGTGTGTGTGTGTGTGTGTGTGTTGTGTGTGTGTGTGTGTGTGTGTGTGTGTGTGTGTGTACGTGTGTGTTGTGTGGTATGTGTGTACGTGTGTGTGTGTGTGTGTGTGTGTGTGTGTGTGTGTGTGTGTGTGTGTGTGTGTGTGTGTGTGTGTGTGTGTCTACTCACCTAGTTGAGGTTGCAGGGGTCGAGTCCCAACTCCTGGCCCCTCTCAATATTTTATATGTCGTTATCACGCCCTTCTTGTCCCTTCTGTCTTCTAGTGTCGTCATTTCGATTTCTCAACCTCTCCTTGTAGGACATGCCCCTTAACTCCGGGACTAGTCTCGTTGCTACCTCTGCACTTTCTCTAGTTTCTTGACGTGCTTGGCCAGGTGTGGGTTCCAAATTGCTGCTGCATACTCCAATATGGGCGTGATGTACAAGGTGTACAGAGTCCTGAACGACTACTGACTGAGATGTCGGAATGTTATTCATAGGTTTGCTAGTCGCCCGTATGCCACAGCAGTTATCCGGTTGATGTGAGGCTCAGAAGATGTGTTCGGTGTTATACTCACTCCAAGATCCTTTTCCTTGAGTGAGGTTTGTAGCCTTTGGCCCCCTAGACTGTACTCTCTCTGTGGTCCTCTTTGACCTTCCCCGATCCTCATGACTTTGCACTTGGCGGGGTTGAACTCCAGGAGCTATATGCGGGACTATGGCTGTAGCCTGTCCAGGCAGGACTATGAAAGTCTTTCCTGGTTCTCCTCCGATTGAATTCTCCTCATTAACTTCACATCGTTTGGAAACAGAGACACTTCTGAATCTGTTCCTTCCGTCATGTCATTCACATATACCAGAAACAGCACCATCCCTAGGACTGACCCTTGTGGAACCCCGCCCGTCACAGGTGCCCACTCCGACACCTCGTCACATACCATGACTCGCTGCTGCCTTAATGTCCGGTATCCTCTGGTCCACTGCAGTGCCTTCCCTGATACACCTGCCTCATCCTCCAGCATTTGCACTAATCTTTTGTGTAGAACTGTGTCAAAATGCTTCTTACTATCCAAGAACATGCAGTCTACCCACCTCTCTCTCTCTAGTCTTATTGCTGTTACCTTGTTGCAGAACTCAAGTATTTTTGTGACACAGGATTTCTCTTCCCTGAATCCGTGCTGGTTGTCGTTGATAAGCTTAATCCTTTCTAGGTGCTCTACCACTCTGATAATCTTCTCCACGTCTTTGAATGTTATTGATACTGGTCTGTAGTTAAGTGCTGCGTGGCTGCCTCCTTTTTAAAAAATTAGGACTACATTTACTGTCTTCCATACCTCAGGGAGCTGCCCTGTTTCGATAGATGTTTTGAAAATTGTTGTTAGTGGAACACAGAGTGCCTCTGCTCTCTCTCTCAGAGGGAGCAGAGATGTCATCCGGCTCCATCGCCTCTGAGGTATCTAGTTCGCTAAGCAGATTCCTCACCTCTTCCTCGGATGAATTTATTGTGTTTAGCACTTGGTGGTGTACTCCACCCCTCTATGTTTCACGAGTCCTTTCTGTCTCCACAGTGAATACTTGTTTAAATTTCACGTTGAGCTCCTCATATTCTTCTCGAACATTTCTTGTTATTTCGCCTCTTTGTTTCTCAGCCTGATTATCTTGTCCTTGACTGTTGTTTTCCTCCAGTTGTGACTATACAACAGGCTCTTGTTGG